GCCGCCGCGCTGTTTTAAAGCGCCCTTCCGTCGCCTCGCTGTTGTCGCGGCGGTGATGACGCGCGGTGATGACGTCGCCGCTTTAGTGACGCGGTTTTATCACCGCTATTTTGACGAGCGCGGTTTTGTCGTGCCACGGTTCCTGCAACCATTCTTCATAGGCCTTTAGTCATCCAAGTTGTTGTCTGCACTGTTTCCAAAGTTTCAACATCTCTTTTGTAATGTGGTGACCAAAACTGGATGCAATATTCCAAGTGAGGTCTGACTAAGGATTTATAAAGTAGCATTAATGTGATTTTTCAGTGCTGTTGTAACTTTAAACTGTCACTAAATTACCTGTAATGGAGAAGAAACACCCATAATATAGAATGGATCAAAAAAAATGCAAGGACCTTTGGGAACAATACACTCAGAAAATGCACTCTTAAAGATTGTCTGCTATCAAGAAACTGGATTTAAGTGAGGTTTATCAAAGAAGAGCTGGTTTTTCTGGGCAGGACTGAAACTGAGGTTCTTTCGAATGTGGGTTTTAAACTGAAATTACAAGAATGACATGAAAAAAGAAGATGCTACACTGGATTTACAAATGAAACTGGCTGAATGGCTTAACAATGAAAAGGAATATACAAACAGCAAACCAGAAGAGTGACTCGGATAAATTTCTCATTTTGGATTTCCCAAAGGGATGTGTTAAAGTTTTGAAGGAGTTCCTGATTGGCTCAGTGATTGATCCCAGTTGGTACAGACAGAAGGAGAGAGATTACACCTGGGACCCCTTAAGGCATCATGCGCTCGTCCTTCCGGTTTAACATCTGCATGGAACCTCTGGGTGAGGTCTCCTGTCGGTCTGTGGTCCGGTGTCATCGGTAGATTGACGATATCCAGTTGGACAGCACAGCCCTAGGCTGCACAGGTGAAGCTGCCAAGGTGCTGACTCAATATTTGGACCAATGTTTCTCATACTTAGCAGCTTGAAGATGTCTGGATTTCATGTCCCAGCAGGCTTTGCTGGGAAGCTCTGGGAGTTGAAATCCATGCATCTTCAAACTGTAGGGGTCCCCAGGGGTCCCCAGTTGCAAAAGATGTTGAGACTCTGGAAAGAGTGCAGAGAAGAGCAGCCAGGATGATTAGGGGACTGGAGGCTAAAACATACGCTGAACCATTGCAGGAACAGGGCATGGCTACTCTAGAGAAGAGGAGGACCAGGGGAGACATGATAGCAGTTTTTGTGAGGGTTGGAAATTTATTTATTTATT